TCATCACCAATTCTTCAATCCGCAGCCCTGCTAGGGCTTACCTTCCAGAGGTGGAAATCAGGTTAGATGCCCCTTATGATATCTGTTAGCTCTCCCCTGCCGTCGATGTAGCACACCTTAACTTCCTTGAGGACGAAAGGAGACACAGTATTAGGGCAGAATACATATATTTGACATACAAAAGGTACTGGGGCTACTAGTATAACCGGATGGCCAGCCCACCTGGCGAGATACAATGGTTAAGACAATGTGGTCCCCTACCAAAACCGACCGTTAAACAAACAACCAACGTATTACACCCTGTTTTATGTTCCAGTGAACCTTAATTGAACAAAATAGAAACTGTTTTGAATGAATCGACTACTACCACAGTGCGTGAGCACAATAGTCTTCCCAGTTAACAGTGCCTTGAAGCAAGTGTTACTATGCGAAGCGATGAGCATATAGTGTACGTTTGAGTCGAAATACCTTCCAGCCGTCTAGTGAAGACGAGAATCAGGATGTCAGCTGCAAGTGTCCCCTCAGACAGAAGCGACCCACAACGGTGCCAAAGGAACTAAGAAATTGACTATGCCAATAGCCACCCAGGCTTCAGTATTTAGAAATTAGCATATTTCAATCACGGCCTTAGTCATAATTAATTGAAATCCGATAATATCCCATCGGTTCATTCGGAATTAGGGAAATTAAGCAAATTAATCATATTCTGGTTGTTTGATGAATGATGTCCATAATGCCTTGCAAAAAATGGTTAAGCGATTAGTGGAGATTATGACTAGTGGGGTTAATAAAAGCCGAATGAACTTTAACCTGCAAAGGATGCGGCTTCATTACTGATCTTACAAAGTGTATAATTTGTCTTTGGAATAAAAAAAATTTTTGTTCATAAGGTAACCTTGTTTTCGCTGAAAATGTGTAAATTGTACAAACAGTTTTAATGGCCTATTAATTATACCGAATGAAGCAAATGGTAAGCTCGGAGCCTTGATTAGGTCAAGTCGGACGGTCTTGTGTGCGCCAGCGGACGCTTGTAATTAAGCTTATTTATTACAATCTTCAGAGCACGCGAATCTTTGTTGATTTGGGTAACTCGTCATTTTTCGCTATACTAGAGGTGCTCGCTATGTTTCGTTAAGTTTCTATACCGGGCAACTTCTATGCATTATTATTAGTTTTCATTGACTTGGTTGCAGCAATTTGCATACCGGATATTGTCTGTGTTCACTCTCAATTACAAATTATCCTTCGTAGATGTGGTACTGTCAAACAGGACGTTTTTCGACAAAACCATGAATTGGAGCGATGGTGCAAACTTTTATTTGCTCAAAAGTGTTAAGGTCCATGGGAAAGACTGGAAGCTCGTCAGTAGTGCACTTTCAGTCATCGCTCACACCTTTCTAAGGGATGATAAAGGCCAAGACTTTTCAGAAAAGGTACTTCGTTGTAACTTTATTTGACAGTTCTAGAATTGTTCTATCCAATACAAATACTTAATAGCTTCTGCGCGTCAAGCTGAGGGGTGAGCATTTGAGTGGTTTTACATTTTGAGAAGCTAGGCAGTCAGATTACCTTAAAGAAAACGACCTCCTACAAATAGCTTTGTTAAATTACGGGCAGCGTCGTCAGGAGCAAATTAAACATGCACGTGAACAACTTATGCTCAAAATCAAGTGAGTGGCAAGCCGTTGTTTTAAATATTTGCGATTATAGTTGTAACTACAACGTCGAATTTGCTTCTTAGTGCTTATAAGTTGTGATTGCATTATAATTCACATAACCTAGATCAGTCGTAATGGTATTTCGTACCTCTTTCCTGATTGATTATTTTACCGCCTTAGAGCCAGACGGAGAGATAATCGGAAACTTCTCGCAAATCGGTTTTCAGAAATCACCCCAGAAAGTCTCCTTATTTATCGCAAACGTCTGCGAGCTTTCGGTCTGCCAGATGTAATTGGGGAATCTCTGCATCTTGAGCCTCTACTACCAAATCCGGAGGAGGACAGAGAGACACGTCGAAATCTCCATTACGACGATCTGGCCGAAGGCGGTTTACATCAAGCAGTCTTAGACGCAGACAGTGGACTCTGGATTCCGGTCAGCTCAGAAGAAAAGTTACGAAATTTCTTCGACCCCAAATCCGACGGGTCATTTACTGATGAACTTGACGACATTAAGATGGAGGTCGATGAAAAGGAAAGGGTGGAAGATCTGTCGTCCCCGCCCTCTCCTCACATAGCATTGACAGTGAGTTCACTTTTTGCTTTTATTCTCAATCAGAAGATGCAAACAATTTCCTCCATTCTAGACAGAAATCCCACAGTCTTCGATGGTTGAGACTATATCGTCGAATACTCGTCGGGCATCCAATATTGTGCTAAAAAAGCCGTTGACAGTAGTTACACCGGCTACCGTTGTCACAAAGCGATCCTCCCTATCGCCGAATTTGCCTTCAACGCCTTTCAGTGTGGCTGAGGACTCAGAAGACTTCCACAGTCCTATTAGCTTCCGACCCCCGCCGAAACGTTCGTTATCCATCAAGACGGAACATCACACTCCCTTGCGTGCTCCAGTCAGGTCGAGGAATCGCGTTCGTCAGAGCGCTGACGTATCTCCTGGTAGACTCCTCTTCTTGCACCCCCTTGATCCTTTGTGACCATTAATGCCGCTATATTCTCTTATTTATGTCCAACAGGTGATCTTTTTAATCCTGGTCGTCCTTTGAAGTAGATATTGTTCGAGCTAATGTTGTAGCTAAACCCGTATGGGTGTGGGTAGGAATGAGGTATTTTTGGTCTGCTCTCTCTATTTTTTTAGCCATTTTTGTGTTTTCTGACGCGTTTGTTTTTTTAACCCAATATTCCACTTTTACATTAATAAGCTGGCTATTGGTTACTTTTGCAACTGAGATTTTGCGGACTCTAATTTAGTGGTTATGACAACTTATGTAAGAACTGGTAGTCGTAATTCCTGACCACCTTAAACCTCGCATTTGTTTTGTACTTCAATTTTTGTCACGTCCTCCATGCTAGGTGTCAGTGCTGGTGGTCATGTTCTTAGTGGCGCAAATGCTGGGGGTCTTGGTGTCTCATTTTATCACTACTAGTGCCCTCTCCATCTTTGGGGTCCCAATTGGCACCGCGTCGCCGTTGGCGACGAGGTCTGTTGTCGGCACTGACGACGGTGTGCTCTCATCGCCACGCCCACATCTTTTTGCACCCTGTCACGGACGAGATCGCCCCGGGCTACTCAAGCATGATATACGCTCCAGTGGACCTGACCATGCTGCGCCGACGTGTCGAGGCGAGTCTGGCGCCCCTCACTGTCGCTGCGGCAGTAGGATCCTCGTCGGGCGGCGGCGGTAGTACTACCACGGCAGAGAGTACCCCCGCAGCCCAGCAGGTGGTTGCATGCATAGCCAAACAGCTGCTGCGGGACCTTCTCTTAATGTTCGCCAACGCGCGCATGTACAACAATCGCGAGCACAGCGTCCACCGCATAGCCGGAGAGATGTGCTCTGATGTGCTGGCTGAGGTGCGTATGTGCTTCTTTTCCGCCCCCTTTTTACTGCATGTTAATCATAGTAGTCGAGTCATTCCTGAAGACCTAATAAGGCATGGCAGCCTGGAAGCTGGTTTACAATCGGATAAGGGGCTAGGGATCTAGCATTAAACGTGATGTAAGCGAAGCGTGGAGGTTGAATCACAGCAGATTAAAACAGCAAACTTCGTTCTGCTTTATAGCTTTGCAGATTGTTTATTTACACATCCTTTGAGCCTGAGTTTCCTAGAGTGCATCTCCCAATGGATTGTAAACACTGGTGGGTTAATCGAGTTCTATCTTTTGGGTTTGCTACTTGCGCGGTGACTGTTGACTTTATTTCCACTTCTCTCACAAATGTGTTAAAATTTCCTTTTTTTAAAACATCCTGTTTTTCCATAGTATGTTTTAGTCATTCTTCTAAAAACCGTTGAATCTTGTCAACCTGTGATTGCATGTGGGCGAGCTAATCTCCTAGCATTAATTGATCTCTTGTATGTAATTCATAGGGACATGTTTAAGAGCTTAAATAATCTCTATTAGAACTTTCTAACAACTGCTAGGTCTCTTGTAGAACAGATTTAAGATTGTCTGATACAAATTGAAGTGAAACTTCTACGAGATGCCCCTCCAATTAGAGCTAAAACTATTTTTCCGGTATTTGCTTCCCCATTTTGGTGCGAGTTTTAATGAAACTACTTTATATTCTCTGCACTGTCCGGTTATAGCGTTCATCAGTGACATCTCTAACTGAGCAGGAGCAGATCATGACAACATAACGAGGCACTTACTCACATGTTATTAACTAATGCAAATAGTTTTTCACTTGGATGAGAGGATCATAACTGCCTGGAGAAATTCACTCATTTCTCTACAGGCATTTGGAGATGACTTAAGAAATCGGGCCACCTCAAGAGCACTTTTAGATTGCTCTAAGTATTTTCATTCAAAAGTTGCACATATCCAGAGTTCTCCCAAATGTTTGAATGTTCATGTCTACCATCAAGTCATACTTTTTTACGGTTGCAGTGATATTTCGGTTTTTGGTTTGATATTCAAAAAGGAGCTAATATCTACCTGAGATTGTTTCAATCAGACGCATTTTAAAACATGTTTCATTTTTGCGTTACTTTTGCATTCCATTGGCTGGCTCTCACCATTGTTCCTTCAACTATAACAGAAATTTCCGCTAAATTTATAAACCAGTCGTTTCGAAGCTTATGCATAATCGACAAAAACAAATATTTTGTGCATGTTTCTCACAGAAAACAATTTGTGGCGTGCAAGGATCGGGCCACAGAGAAGATCCATCTCATTCATCAAGTCTGGAGGTGGATGACTAGGTCTACTGGCATCCTACCTTTGATCCTATTTATTCCAATTGTACCCCGTCATCTTTTCCCATAGGTCTGCTTAGACTACCTTTCATAGTAGTTATTTTGACAAATCGACCTTTGACCTCAGTGGTACTACTTTCCCCTGCTTTAGTTCCCCCGATAGATCTACTTCGATATTTTTTTATTTCTTTTTAAGAAGAAAAAGTAAATGGGTTAATTGGTAGCCTGGTGAGTACAGCGTGTCATATTTATCCAATTCATAACTTAAAGCGGAAATTCGAGTCTTTTTCTGGTGCAGCCCTGTACACTGCTGCCCGAGGTTATGGAGCCAGTTGAGACTTTTAAACTCCATTTTTGTTGCCCTCGCGGTAGATTTAATCCTTTCTTTATCGAAGTGGAAGGTGAGTAGGCATCGCTTGACAATTTTATCTTTTTTTTCGACATGTAAAATGTATTTTTATCCATTGAAATAAGTGGGAATAAACTATGGAAACTGGTAGGATCCAAAAAGATCCAATAATGACACTTCAATTGCGGATATCTTCTCAATTTCATGTTCACAGACCGCAACAAAGAACTGGTAACAAGTTGAGATGAAATTGGACGACACGGGCAATTGCTTTCGTTTGTGTAGAGTTATCGATTCTCCAAACATCTTCGGGTGGAATATCTACCATTTTTAGGTGCATTTAGGCTGCATTGCTACTTGTTAGCCGTTTAATGCCTCTTTGAGCATATGCATTCACTATGAGGTTTTTTGGTGCAATGTGAGTCAGCAGAGGTTTTAACTTTTCTATTCTCAACCTAAGCAATTTCAATGTGTGTAATTTATGGACCTCAGCCATGGTAGTTTCCTCCAGTAGTACATCCACTACACTCATGCTCAAGCGTTCAGTGTGGTTAATTTGCAGCAGTTTTGGTACGCTATCTACAAGCACTTATTTTTATGGAATGCGAATGAGACATTTGAACTTAGCTGGAATGTGTTGGGGATGCTCGACTACTATCGGTTTACCATGACTTATTATTGCACCCGAACCCCTTCTTCAGCTGCCCGGTTCGGGAAAGCAAGGACTTAACATGCTACAGTGGTTCTCCATCACATTGCCAAGTGGCGACCGTTGTCGGATGCGATCAAAAATTTGATTCAAATTTCATACATTTTTCAATCCGCTATTCAAAATTACACAAATTCGAGCATTTCCGTATTTTATTAAACGTCGTATCTCAATTGACTAAAAGGAGTCCATAAGTGTTGGACCAGTACTCGTTTGCACAAGCTGTCCGTTGTGCTGCAAGTTAATTTAGGGCTCTTCCTGGTTCTCTTTTAGAATTTTGCCGCAGCTTTAAAATTAATTGTCAGACTTGAAACCTAGAATGTATTTTTATTTGGGAATGCGAAAAACTGCGCAGCACCATATAGTCCACATTTAATGATAGACTACTTTCAAATGACCGAAAATTGCGCTCTTTTGCATCATTAAGGTGTATATGCCATTGGAGTTGAAGACGCATGATGTGAGTAATGCTCAAACTTCCTATTTCATGGTACTAAAAAGGTGTCAGTTGAATGTAGCAGTGTTTTCCTCTTTTCAATATTTTTTTCTTTTGCAACGTGGGATTTGGGCGTCTGGCAACATCCAATGCTGAAAGTTCTATGACTGCTAGATTTGTTGTGTTTTTAAGAGTAATTCCTTGAAATTTCGCTTGAATGTGTGGGAATAAGTTTACTTTTAGAACAAAAAATTAATTTGTCACTAGATTTGTCCCGGCTCCCAAAGCTAACGTCTTTAATTGGGAAGAAATGTGCAATTTCTTTTTAATAATGTTAGAGTATTTTTGTGATAGTTGTTGTTTACTTGATATGTATGCTTCCCGATCTCGCTCGTTTCACCAAGACTTTAGGCCTTTGTCGAAATTCGTGTTGAAAAAAATTATTTGAAAATGGTGAAATATTTATGAAAGCTTTAGGCTTAAAGAAAAGTTACTTCTCGTCTGCGTACGTACAGGAATCCGTGAGATACATAGTCAGCATGTATTTATCACAGTTATGTTTCAATTCATCTCCGATTACGTCAAAGAATGTATAAGTTTGGAAATACCTTCGTTATTATATGTACTCAGAAAGACTGGGAGACCACCTGTGCAGGCAGTGAGTCGGATGCGGGTCGGAGGAACCGCGGAGTTGCAGCTAGCTAAAACGAATTTGTTCTCTTACACCACATTCATGATGAAGTACTAATTGAAGGTATTCTATATTCCCTTAATTCAGTTGCGTCCGCTGTGGGCTCTGTGGGCCGATGTCATCCCGGGTTTGCCGCCGTTGCCGGGCAGTCCAACGGCACCGAGCGGCGTCTCCCCGATACTCCGACGCCGCACCGCCGTGGCTCCACTCCCCTCTCCTATAACCACACCTAACCGTGCTAGCCCATCTTCCACCCCACCTGCTTTCCAGCAATAGTTTTGAAAAGGGTCTTTTTCCTTTACAGTAAGTAAAACTCTCACCACTAACCGTACAAACACGTTTATTTGCAGTTATTGCAATAAACACTTAATAGTCAGGAGGTGATCACCTTTGCAGTATATCCATATTCTTTTTAGTATTCATTTTCAGTCTGCGCGTAAGGTAGACTTAGTGTTAACCGCTTCTCAATTTTTACTTGTGAGAATAAATCCTGTTCTTATTTTTCTTTTTAGTGTTTCACGAGGGTCTCTGTTTTGCGTAACGCTTTATGCGAAAAATAAATACATATTGAAGGCCATTTCGCGTTCTCTTGTTAACATGCAACGGTGGAGGGTGAAAGTTGTGTATAACATCGGAATACTCCTATTGGTTTCCAGATGGCTACAACATTGGAAACGGTGACATCGGCTGACATTACTGAAAAGGAGCGTGAAGGAAAGGTAAATTTTGCCTCAATGAGTCTAGCTACAGCTTGCTCTACGATTAATTGCATACAGATTTTACGTAGGCTACATACTCTAGTATCGGTCTTAGTGATGACACTTTTGCTAAATAACTACCCACCTCCAGGTCAACATTAAATCATGTTGATCACTTAGAGTTGAATTGCTTTCCTCACGTATTGGTAAGGTAAAAACCTGTTTTATGGTGGTTTTGTTTCAAGGAGTTTATGCATTTCATATTTAAAAACTCCCTGACATTCAACTTAAGTGTTGGGGATAAATCTCTGGGGAATGTCTAGACCCAACTGTATGCTTGAATGCTAAGGAAAGCTGTTCTAACGGTGGAGTTTTCTAGTTTATACGCACTATCATAATCCTCTTGTGCTCATATTACCCAAGAGGCGGTTGTTTTACTGCTATGGACGCCTCAAAGTGTCTTATATTCCTCGTTCCTTTACCACGTTTAAGGTATGTGACGTAAGTGACCGGGCCGTGTGGTGTCTGTCGTCATGCAAAAGTAACCATGGAATTAATGAATTGCTGAACGAGTCGTTGGACACCTACTGGCAGTCCGACGGACCGCAGCCGCACACCGTCACTGTGCAGTTTCCTCAAAAGACTATCATCTCTGAGATTTGTCTCTATAATGACTACAAGGTGGATGAGAGCTATACGCCCAGCCGGTAGGTTATAGTGTAGCTTAACATGCCTTCAACTATTTCGCAAGCTGAAAACGAGGAAAATCTTTGCGCGTTTGCTATCAAGGTTTCAGAAGCAAATCAAGCGCCGTGACTCACTTCTGTTGTGAAATATCCTCAAGTCAAAAGCGCCCTGCATACATTTTGCCGTTTCAAGCTCAGCCAATCTATTTGCGTTATGATTTGGTTCGACATGTTTTAACAAACTGATAGGTGCACTTCATATTAGAGGACGTCTCAATTCATGTTTATGATGGTCCTCTTTTAGTTGTCATTGTTAATGCGTTGTTCAATGGTGACCTCATGAGTGTTTTTTTATTGGAACGCAAAGTGTTTCGAATCTAAATCTCTTTTTTTGACAATTTTTCATCTTTCACACAAATAACCACCATTCCAGCTTAGAAATCCAAGTATGTTGTTTTAGTTATCAGCGTGTACTATCCGACAGTGTAAAATTTGGTGTAGTTAACTGAGTACGGCTTCTCTTACTGACGTATTAACCCTTATCTCAGGTTAGTCAACCAATTTTTAGTTTGATGAATCTTTAAAGTCGAGATTCACACAAACATTTACAATACATTTTTTGTCTTGTTTATTTGGTGTAGCTGCAAGAAGTCGCCATTTAGCCGCATCAGTGAATGCGAAATTTGTTTTTTTTCCCATTACATTAATTGGAACTGCTCAAAAAATTGCTCTGTTTTATTTATGATTAGAGTGAGAATTTATTCTATTAAATGTGGCCATTCCGCACTGGTTATTTATTTTCGAATCCAACTACCTAGTATATCAGTATCTATCAGGTCCGGTTATCAAGTGAATATTCAGAATGGATAAATCACCCATCAAAATCTAAACAGAATTACCAAATTTACAATGGCGGTGTATCACTTATTTCGTTGGATGCAGTTCCAAAGACGTTTATCCTCTGACTATATTCATAAATGCGGGCTCTACTTCTATTACTGCTGTCTTTTTGTTGAAATAATTTGACTTCCTCTGCGACTTACCATTAAGAACTCATTTCTAAAAATGCTTTTATTGGTTTTTGGTCTTTAAACGTGAATAGATTCTCCATGCGCATAGAGGTAAGTGAAGTCGGAGACTTAGTAGTATGATTATTGCCGTGTGGGAACACTGCCGTCAAAAACCCCTCTGTGAGCGTCAGGCCGTTGAAAATTACTTCCAGTATGCTTTTCTGATCCCTAATTTTGTGGAAGCTCTCACTAAGTTAGTCAGCTGGTACGATCAGTTATCCATCAAAATGTGCTAAATTTGTTTTATGGACTTTTACTGTAATGCACTCCGGCAATTGCTTATATGAGGTATCCTTTAGTAGTTGAATGCAATTTTCTCTTCATTTTTCTATCTAAACTGCATTGAGAATGCGTTGTGTATTGCTCTTATGCAACACAGCGCTTTTAATGCTTGTTTTAGGACGGTAGACTCTTATTAACCTGCAGCATCATTCCATTTTGCAATTTACGTCTTTTTGTAGAGAATTTCATTTTCGCCCTTTTGTTCATTATCCTGGTACCATGCAAGGACAATTGCCTTCAGATGGACAAAATGTGAATGTGGTGATGCGTGCAGCTCAATTAGCAATTCCGTTGACTGTATTAGTAACCCTATCACCTTTGTAGTAGGTCCCTTCAGGCTATTAATGTATTAAAATGTTTTGTTGGTGTTTTTCAACAACATTTCATGAGAATTACTTCAGTTAGTTGTAAGACTGGAAAATGTTGGTAGAAGTATACCATGGTGGGACGCGGTTTCTTTGAGAACAACCCAATTTACCTAGTTTCCTCTATTAAGATCACTGACTGAAGTCAGTAGTATAATATTCTCACGAGTTCTGAAGAATCTGATTAAATAGGGTCTGCTATGACTACCAAGCAACTTCATTTCCTACGTTTTATCCCTTCACTGGATTCGAAAGCCGTTAGAAAGGTATGAGAATTCATCGCCTACTGATTTCATTGCTTACCTCTTAGTTGCTACTGTCTAATTGAACAATCTGTGTTAACGATGATGAGAATGCATACCAATGACTTCCATCTAAGAATTGTAAAAAAAGCACTTTAGCGCTTAATCTGTCCTTGTTGGTGTTTTAAAGCCTTATTTATAAAAGTGCATAAATGTGAAGATCCTAGTGTAATAGTATCGGCAGAGCCCCATGCCACTAGCATGTAGACCAAAAGTGTTCCCACAGTGCCATTTAGAAATAAAATGAGTACAGTTAGGTCACATTTTCCTTTTGGATGTCGTAACTGAACACCTAATGGCCGAGAAAACATCTAACTTCAAATTATGCAAAAACAAACAACTTTTTCGGGATTAAGAATCGCAATCCGAGTGGGCAACCACGTGGGTGACCTGGTGGAGTTGACGGAAGTGGAGTTGCACGAGCCTTCCGGTTGGTCGGTGCTGCCGCTGCGATGGCCGAACGGGGCGCCAGTGAGCTTGTTCACCCTGCAGCTGCGCATCCTTGCCAATCACCAAAACGGTCGTGACACTCACCTTCGTGCCATTCGTCTCTTTGCACCCCTCGTCCGATCCGGCCTTGACGCTGCCCTTAACCAGGCTCTCTTCACTACTCTTGAGGCGCGTCGTTATACCACCATCCGCTGATCTTTACGTTTCTATCACACTGGTCTCTCTGCGTACACTGTACTCGCCTCTCCGCCATTAAAGAGTCTTGTCTTGTTCCTTCGTATGCCTATTTTGCTTTGAGGAGAGGTAGTATACCTAGGATTTAGTGATTTAAATTAACGAAACCATCTTCTGATTGCTAGCCTATTAGCAACTTTCCTTGCAGTTGGTTCTCGTTTCCTCTTTGAGAATGGAAAGTGAGGAAAAATGCCTCTTAATTCAATTTATTTAAGGCCATGAGGTTGTAATGAAAGACATGGCTTTCTATTCGCCCTGGGAAATGAGGTGTTGATACATTTTGGGCTCTTTCCACTAGGGACACCTGCAACCCCATAAAAAAACCTTACTGCCAGGTGTTCAATGGGTTCAGTTGATGGCTGATTTTCGAGCCTTCTAGAAAGACGTATTTACGCTCGGTCTATCCTGACTGACACAGATCAAGCAGAGGTGCACTCCGGTTGCAGTGATAGCCTCTCGAAGCCCCAAGATCAGTCAGTTACTGCAAATCCGCGTAACTGAGATTGCCGACTTACACGCAGACTCAATTAGGAAACGAAATTCAGGCGCTGCTTGCTTCCTTGCCGCTCGTTGCATGGGCACCGACCGTACCTCATCTGCCTAAGCATTACGTCGGTATCGGCAATCACGACACCTGCCCTGAAGTCGATCTAGAATTCAGGTATTTATCGTATGCGAATGTAGAGGTCCCAGGTGTAAAGCTTAGCGATCCATTTCATAACATTTCGATCTAAATGATCCATAAAATTGGTCATGCAGTACTTCTTCTTGACTCTCAATCAAGAAGTCAAGAGTAACAATAGATGGAGGCGATCTACTTGGTCTCAGACAATTGAATTTATCGCATAACCGAGTAGTTGCCATATTTTGAGTTTCTGAATACTGCAATCTCGCTCTAAGGCAGTGGACCCTCTGAATAAGCAAATAGTGGATTTTACAATAATCCACATTATAACAAACAGGAAGGCCGGTTTCCTCCCCGACTCCGAGGTCACGACTGACTGAATAGTGAATAGGTTTGATTTCCAGTTCAGCCCGAGATTGTCTGGCGCGACAGCTGTTGCGCTTGATTTTATGCTGGTGGTCAAATGAAGTAAGGAGAAGGGGAAGGGGGAGCTTATCATGACCGCAACCAGCCCTTAGGCCTGTGTCAGGCCAACAGTATGCGTCTGGTTGATTGGTCCAGGCAGCCAACTACGTGTGAATGCATACTGCGCTGGCCACTAGGGCATCCCCGACGAATTTTTGATGGCCTTATGTGGAAAAAAAGGTGATGTTTGCCCAAGCATCGCTTTAAAACTGGACTTTGATACGGGTACATATAAATTCAATACGTTAATCTTCGAACAACACCGCCCAGTAGTATTCATGGCACGATAACAGCGTGAAGTTCTACCAGTAGTAATCCGTGGTCTTCTTAAATATTTCCGTCCTTACTTCTAGTACGAACTGCTACGCTATGGCAACCTAGAAACCCATGTGTTCCGTATTGCAAATGTTAAAAAAAAAACATGGAGATGGGGCTAGCGAAAAGTCATTCCCTGTAGGAGCCCGGAAGTTGATGTGTTATGGTCGAGGTGATGGGAACCAGGTGGAATTAACGTCAAACAAAACCAAGTGCAGTGTGCCTTAGGGCGCAAGCGCACACCCACGCGCAAATGGCTGGCCACCACCCGTCCGAAGGTACACGTGCACGCAGCTAATGGGTCGGTTGCACCGCGGAGCCCGCTGTGAATTAGCCTGGCAACCACAATCGCTTGTCCAAAGGTGCGCCTACAGATTCGCGTTAGCACATACACTAGTAATTAATCTCTAGGGTGGAAAAAGACTATGCGCACATTGTCCTCTCGATCACACCGAAACATTACTCGATGCGAAACAATTGTACCTATCCTAATGACCAAGCTGATTTCTGACATAGAATATTGCCGTGATTCGCGATCGACGTGGCTTTCATGAGTACATAAGACACTTTAAGCGAAGGAGGCTTCCATTTCCATGTAACAGTCGAGTAGTGGTGCAATGCAGCGAACATTACGGAAAACACCATTAAACCAATGCTCCACAATGCAAGTTTACAACCACTTCCACCCACAGAGAGCTGAAGTATAGATGCCCCAGAGACCCACCGAATAGTGGCTTGGCATCAATAACCCCATTCCCAAGATTTGATTAAGACATAATATTGCGTTATAAGGTCATCCCCCAATGCATGTGCTGGCCTACACTCAAAAAGACTACCAATCCGTACAGTGAACGCTTATGTGGCGTCAATATACCTGGCTTTGAGAAATATCTTTATGCTCGCCCATTTCACTTAGTACCTTCAAATCACAACACTTGTTAGGGATGACTAAAATGGACTGGATCTGCACGGGCCGGAATTTTTAACAACTGTGAAGTTTAAGACCTATCCAATCATCAAGACAACCGGTCGAATTCGGCTACGAGGCACCAGAGCTGACGAGAACAAAGCAATGAGATTGAGAAGAAAATTCCAAGTTAGTAAATTCTTCTATTGGAATTTATTACACAGAACTGCAAAAGGGAAGAAGATAATATAGCAACGAGCAAGAAAGATAGTTATTTACTAAATATTTACCAATTCCAAAGTGAACAAGTCGCAGGATGAAGCAGAAAAAGATCTAGGTAGGAATTTTAATTTACGTACCCAAGTTTCACAAGCAGGTGTCAGTTGGACTGAAGACATCGGAAACTCCTGCTAATTGTGGAGGGAGCGCCAAAAGCGAGGACAAAAAAAACAAAGAACAAATTCGACAAGGGCAGATTGGGGGGAAGGAGGGAGACGTGGTGGTGCCTCAATCCTCCAGTTTGTGCATTTTGGCAATTCGCTTCCGTAGCTCGATCGGAAACATCTCGTAGCAAGATTTGCACACGGGGCGAAGGTCAAATTCGTAGAACTTTGTCCTTTAAAAAGGATGAGATTCACCAGTCAGTAAATTTTGCAACAACCAGTCCCTAACAGCCTTTGAGCTACAGAACTTTCCCACAGCAAAGTGGCAGACTGAGACTGTTGCTTGAAGAGGATGGGAACCGCAATTTGAAAATTCCAGCCTTCGCTCACTTTGCGTCCCATCCTTCAGTATCCTATTTGGTATAGGAGGCTGCAAAGTACCTACCATAATCCTTCTGTATTTTTGACATTCCCGTCTAGTATTGCTAGAGCAAGCATTACTAAACACGGTCTTGTTGACCGGAATCGCAAGAATTAATCAACGCTCACACACTAAGACAATGTAGCCGCATATGAATAATGATAAAAAACACTTGCTATTCTCCTTGTATTACTTACGCACGTCCTCTTATTAAAGCGCCCAATGATAGCCGAAGTTAGGCAATAGTGAGCATGGTAGGATGAATGAGAAGTAATTAAAAAGGATAAGTAAACACGAAATTTTTGTGGACAACGTGGCGCAATTAGTGTACTCCACCCTTGAACGGTGGCCGAACTTAATGTGAACATGCACATTGTCTGTAGATGTCACAGGGTCACAAAAAATCGGGCAGGCCATAGTGACGACCAAATTAAGCAGCACAGACAGGAAGACCTACTTCGGACTGATACGTCGATCACAGGCAACGCACCCGAAGTGATCAACACACCAAGCCTTGTTCAGTGCAAACACGGTCTCTCCGGGGATGACCTGATTGCACGAGTAGCAGAGCATGCCAAATAACTGCTGGTAGTGGAGTTCACAGTAGGCCAATCCCTTTTTCTCGTAATGTCGTGAACCCAAAAATGGCTTCTCACAGCGTGCACAGACAAAGTGCTCCACGTGCCAGGTCTTCCCTAGTGCATGAACCACACGCTCCTCAATAGGCCGACTGTGAAATGGGAGAAAGGCGGTGGATGAAAACAAATAGGTCCAAATCTAAAACAGCTTTTGGCAGAACTCCCTCTACAGTTCATTAAACCAATTAGTTAGATACCTCAGGCAAACTACAAAGTTAAACTTAAATGATTTTAAAAATAAACTAGAGAGCCAGAAAAAAAAAACAAAAAAAAGAACAGAACGACATCATCTCACCAAAAATTTAATTAATATATGCTGATATAATAAGCAAGCTCTAATAAATAGATGGCATGATTCAAATTAAGCACTGTGGAGATTAGGAAATCAATAGAAACGATGGAACAAGAAAGGCCAATCGAGCATTCTGAACTCCGAAGTGGTAAGTAAATTCCTACCGACAAGCACCACAAATCGGAATCCCCATTTTATCGAAACATCGAAGGCAATAGAGGTCACCATCCTTTTCCCGAGCATCAGAACTGAGCTCGGAGCCGCATGATGAACAAGTGAAGTGATAAGCATGATATACTTCTGACTGGTACTTAAGTTGTTGGGTTTCATCAACATAGGAGTGGCATTTGAAGCAGAGAATCCGATCAGAGCTGTTCGCCTTTTCTCGAGCATTACATTCATGGCACAGGGCTCTGACAGTAAAAATCAAAAAAAAATGTGGAAGGGTGAATGCATGAGTAGAGAGCACAGAAAATATAATGACACACCTGCCAGAATGTTTAACAAAACCATCATCAGCAAGGCACTTGTCGCAAATCTGGCAACGGAAACACTCGGGATGCCAACTGCTGTTCATTGCTTTTATTACACGACCAACGATAAAATAGCCACACTTTCCACAGCAAGGCGCAAAAAGAACATGAAAATCATGTTCACAGTACTTTCTACCATCAAACTAGTTTGAGTCACAAAAGTACGGGCGATTTACATCGTAATACACACCGTCTGGAAAAGGCTGAAAACACTGCGCACAGCTAAATTCAGAAGTTACTTCAACGAGAAAAAACGTACACAAAACAGTCTATGTGGTATTTTTCGTTTCGAGCCTGAACCACCTTTTCATTTACCTTGAATCCTTCATGACAATGGAGACAGAAATCATCTCCAACATCAAGCCTATGGATTTCATAGAAGAAAATGCATCAAACTTAGAAAACTCATCAGCTGGTGGATAATTATCGTATCCTCCACTATCGACTCCCGAAACATCTCCCTGAAATTCGGTAGAAATAACCTGCGAGTCGGCGGGAGGACCCATCTAAACTGCACACCTGGGCTTGTTTTTACTGGCTCGGGCTGTCCAGTAGCAGCAATATAGGTCAATTAGGCTGAAACTTCGATCTCCTAAGGCTTGCGCGCCGCTGATAGTTCTACATAATCAGAAATGAGAAGTTTTCTGGAAAAATTACCTTGTTATATCATTGTTAATACATTTTTATTTTATAACCCACACAGGTCCCGATTGTATTCGTGATTGGTTATTGATGAAGGCCATATACACAATCTGTTGCCAATGCCTCTAGTGATCGTTGTACCTCATTTCCCGTCTCCGCTTCTCTGACCCCACTGAGCCTCGTACCTCCCGTCTAGTATGGAGTACCGGTTTAAAAAACCCATTTCATTATGGCCACGATCCGAGGTATTTTCTTTCGGTGTCTTTCCAATGCAACCCAATCCACGGCTTACTGTCAACGTATGCTACCTATAATGTGCCCAAACCCGTTTCAGAATATCAAAAAGCTAATAGGCTATGCAAAAAGTAGGAATAACAGTGGATACACACATTTGAGGTATACAAGATACCTAATGTCCATGTCATAGGTACGCAATTTGGAAACATGTTGCCTGTAACAAGTTGAATTTTACTGAAGAAGCGGCATGGACGTAAGTTTAGTTTAAGTTATATTCCGTAGCTATTTTGAAACGTGTTTAGTTATGTCTTGCTCTAAAATGGAATACTTGATGGAGGTGGAATCGTCGCTTGCAAAAGTAAACGACTTAACTGAAAGAGGTTTGAGTTTCCTCGCTTATTGTCTTCAGAAAGTACCAGACTTCAGCAATCCATAGATCTCTACACATTTGCAATATTTCTTTATGCGAATCAAATCAATAAATTGTCTTTGCGATCGTCAGCAGCCTCGGTTAGCGGAGAGTAGGTATTTGATTTGCAAAAAAACCGTATCTTTAGGTGGCCGGGATCACCTTCAAGGAGTTTCGATGTCTTAACCACTCGGTCTGCTATTAGAGGATTTAAAGTATTTAACTTTATAGAGTAAGACTTATCATAGAATACATCTGAGCAATATCAGTTACAGTTCATCACGGATCATTTGTTGGAAATCCTGGAACTCTTATCGGACCCGGGTATGCTTGTGTATTGCAATAGTTAAAAATTAATATTGTATTGGCAAAAATAGGCCGGATAAATTAACCATTTTTTGATCTTTAGTGTGGGCTCTATTTTTTGCACGCTTTTTTATCATTAATAATGCCAGCAATGGTCTTTCAAATTTGACTTCATTTGCAGCTTCTTTGCACTCTCATTTTTCAGTATCAGAATCGTTTTTCATTTATTTTCTATTTCATTGAACTTTGATATGTGTTTTGACTAAATTGATCCATTTCCACGTACAGAACCTGTAGGAAGTGTTACCACACCTATCAGGAACGGCGATAAATGCATCCATTCCTGTGCTTTGGATGCTCTCTCTTTCCTTTTTGAAGGAACTGTCGATCGAATGAGGTTACCATCCCTGTAATGAATATATATTTGTTTAGTTCCGTAAAATCCCTTCGAGACATCCTTTTTGATCCGTTGTGCATTTCACACGTTGGATACGATAAGGTTAGCCCCATTTGTGATGTTTACATTTAATTTACCTATTGTTAGTTTGTTTATCGGATTATTTCTGACTAGATTGACGCCAATGCCTTTTTTTCCATCGGGTGCTCGACTAGTTTGCTAAAGTTTCTTTTACTATTTATGGCACTTTATTTCAGTTGCATTTATTTTGTCGTGGTACCTTTATGCACCATTATACCTTGAACTTGTGCTCGAGTTTTCCATTAGTGAAACAATAAATACATTTTATTCTTGCATCCTCATCGATTCCCGGTGCATTATTAACTTTCGCTCAACGTTTGTAATAGTGCTGATGCATTGATCCTTCATCACTACTTTTGGTGTAATCGTAGCTGTTTGATATAAAGTTATTCAGGACACTTGAGATCCTACTTTTGTTGGCAATGTAAAACTTTACTTAAGTCGTAAGTATTTCTAATCACCGTAATCAAACTCCAATGGGTAGTCAATTTCTTGTGCTCAAATTAGTTGACGAAGACCTTCAGCATGCGCTGTCTGCACTCCTGGATGCGCGCTAACCTTTGCCAATGCCCCTTCTCCGTGGAGTCCTGCATCCTTAATGGCACCCGTATCCAGTGGGGAAAGGTGAGTAGCACCGCTGCCTCTTCGCCGGCAAAATCTTCGAAAAGACGGCAGAAAATTGCTACCAATGTCCAACAGTTGCCACCTTCGACTGGCTTTCGAGGGTAAGTTTACCACAATTAACTTCATTCCTGCAGTTGAAGGCCATTTCAGTAGTCATATTATCAAAGACCAGCATATTTTCGTTGGGTGTCAATTAAAATTTGGCTATACGTAGACTTAAATAGAGATTTTAATTTGTTATAATATCCGCCATTTCGCACGCATCCTCCTACTTAATCCCCAAACATTTCCTTATTCCTCTTACAGGAATAAGATTGTTGCAGCGGAGATGCTTCACAAACAGTTCATCGCTCGCGTGAGTATTTTATCAAATAAACTTTTTAAGCATTTGCATCAAATGTCAAACCACTTTCTTTCGTCAATCCAGGCATCACGTTTCCTTAAATACTCAACGGTTAGGCTGCATCGTGCCAGCTCAAGCTCCATCTATCTGCTTGCCCCACTTAGGTAAATTTGCAAAAGTAGTGGTTACTATGTCAGTCGTATTAAAGTTTAAAGAAACACCTTTTGCCACATTTATTTCTTGTGATTTCACTCCAATCTACCCGTTGCCCTTGGTGTGTTGCTTTCTAACTTTTTTCTTATAATTCTTACCCTCTCTATTTCAACCTGACTACACATGGGGATATTGCAATTTATTGAAGTTTTGGATCGAGTACAGATTGACTTTTACCTGCAAGTAATATTCTCCTAGTAGGTAGAGCCATTCTTCTCCGCCTATATCACCAAATTTACAAAGCCGTACACCTTGCTGTGAATGCCTGATTTTACTAGGCTCTGAGTCGACTTTTAGGGCTAGATAAATTTCAATTTTTTTTTGAGATGAAACCAATCGACTTTGTTCCACCCCATATTGTAGATGCGTGGCTCTGGATCGGTGTCGTAATTCGACAATCGTTCTCGGGCCGATCGAAAGCACCTTGACGTTAACAGACTGTGAGGATTGTCTGATCATTGCGGCCGCTCGTCGAGTGGTGGTATGGGCCTCACGGCGTTGCATCCTCCACCTCCTCTGTGCCACGCGTCCTCTCCTCCTCCAGCCACCGCCCATTACCACATCCACCGCCGTTGCTGGGACCAGCGACCCCCATTCCTGTCCTCCATCACCCCTCTCAGGTGTTCCGCATGCCCACAACCCTCTAGGCAACGAGGACATCGTTTTCGCGCCTTTCCACACTACTTACCCCGAGCTTCGACACCATCTTGACAAGGCTGCCCTGAATCCTAGTGTCAATCTCTGGGGCAAACCCCTCCTCTTTGGTAGGCTCCTTAGTCAAAGACAATGGCTCTTTTGGCCAAATAGATGCGAGTACGGGTTGACGAAACACAAGATCTGGGTAGAATTTGGCTTCCTTCCAGTGCTATTCATCCCGCTATATTGCAATTACATCATTATTGCTTCTATTATATAGTGTTCTTTAGTTTTTTTTTCGGAATTAATCTACTGAAAAGTTAAGATTATATCGAGCAAATTGAAAGAGGCACGTGCTGCCGTGTTGAACTATAAAAATAAGGGTCATAACACCCTTCAAATAACGTCAGAAACTACTTGGAATGCTTCGCTTGAATTGCATGAGCACAAGTTAATTTATTCATTGCTAACAGTTGATTAATTGTAAGGTACTCGTGATACCAGAAATTACAACCCGAAATGTCGTATGCGAATCTGAAGGAGTTTTATAGACTCGAAGCAGTAGCAACTCCTACTACTCCCTGATGATTGCAAGAGGAGAAAGGACACTCATTGTGAGCTCCCAGAAGCCACTCGAAGAGGGCTAGGACTGCTGGAGGAGTAGTGGAACAACTTCTAGACTCAAGTAGATAGACCATTCGTGGACATCATTATATGCTTGAATTCTCTAAATCAAAGGACGAGAGACTCCACTATTTTGCTTTTAACCGAACCTTAGCAATGGATAAAAAGGCGAATAGAAACTAATGTGACAACTTTGCGTCTTATAAGTTGTTAGGAGATTTTCAAAGGAAGTGAATCCAACTTTGCTTGACCTCGTCAACACTGCTGGGCTGTCAATAACACACAGTGATGTGATTTAAGTGATCGCTTAAAAACAGGTAATGGCAAGCGCAAGGTAATATATGGGGGGATAATCGGAACGCAAACCATTTCAATTACGTGTTGTGCCGTTTGTATCCCTCCACTTTCTACCTCAGTTTATTCTTTTTACTCTTAGCAGCAATAAATGGTGTGCGAGAACGCTTTAAATCTTCCAGGAATGTACCAGCTGGTATACTTGAGTTCAAATAATCAAAATGAGAAGAGTAATTCAAAGGTGAATAAAATAGAAATCGAGATTAGGTCAAGAGCCTAGATCTCGTTGTAATAAAACCAACTTACTAGGTGAACTCAACAGATTCCGCAATAAAACTCGCTACACTAAACTTTTGTTTCGTATGTAACTAGTCGTTGGCATTTATTGGTCCCTGCTTTTCTAGAATTAAAATACAACTCGCTCCTTTGTGTAACGGTTACCCACACCTCATATATCTAGGCAACGATTTCTGGCGGTCAGGGCTCAACCAGTACCAATCCAACGGCATTTGGGGCCTGTTGCCGCCGGACAACTTCTTCCCCTTCAACATTCCTCTCGCACCTCTGATGACAAATGAGGAGATCGGAGCAGTGGTTCAGTACACGGACAGTGGCGGCGTCGCACCCTCCGCGGTCGGCATGTGCTTGAAGCAGAAAGCCTACGATGTCTGCCGCGGTGTGATTGTGGACTGTGGTCGCGATGGGGAGAGTCCTAACGGTGATCTTGACACGTCAGAGGAGGAATTCGACTCACTTGCTAAAAGAGCAACTCTCCTTGTCCCGCTTCCTCCGGTTTATGCCGAAGCGGTGAACAAGCGCCGTGCCGCGTATGAAACTTGGCAAAAAACCATCCAAGTAATTATTTCATGGATGCGCGAAGAGCTTTCTAAGTGGTACATAATGCCTGGGTTTTGAAAAGTCGTGAGTACTACTGATGGCATGTTATGTACTGATTCGGTTCTAACGGCCGTTTACATTCTCACTAAACAGCGTCAAATTGAAGACTTGCACTTTAAAAAGCACTTTTAACCTAATTTGTGCGATTCTTCAGTTTACTTATGAATTCAAATGTACGCCTGCTTGCAAATGCGAATTCCGAAACAACTTATAATTTTAATGACTACTAATGATATTTTACGGTAACGGATGACTATCTGATCAGTCTGTGAATTTGTGTTGTTAAGCGCAATTGTTGCCCATCATAATAACCAAAGAGTCAAATTCTACTCATTTACATGACTTATGCAGTTATTTCAGTGTTTTATTCCCTCTTCTATCGTAGAATTGATTGTTAGTAATAGTTTCGGCAGCTCAAAGTTATCTTAATATTGGGGTTCATGTGAACTGCCTCTGAATATATATTTGGGCATTTTGTCGTGAGAAGTGAATCTGAAGGTCCACTTATTTATGTGGGTTGCCTTTAGCACGCCGATTTAACCGAAGACGAGAATGTATACTTCGCGAAATGCATTGAGACTCAATTCCAAGCCTGGTTGGTTGAGTCGGGTATGCTGGAGGAACTAAAAGTTCTCGACTCTGCATCAAGTTTTTCCATAGAGAGACAGCTCCGACGATCGGAGATCTCGGCGGAGGAAGTGAACCGCATCGCTACTCCATCGTCATTCCCTCGACGCAGTCTGCATCGACATTGACGCCAAATAAACTTCGTTCTTCGTACTACGTGCTGCAATATCGAATTGTTTACTGAATGCATTTATTAACCTTCTTATTCTTCCTCATCTTCTTCTTCTTCATCTTCTTCACGTAGTTTTAATGCCAGGAATGTAAAGCTGGGCTTTACTTGAATATCTTGAGCGTTTTTTTTTAAATTTCTTTAGAAGCAAATAGTTTGAATAAATTCTTGAAACGAAAACGGTGTCCAGACTTTTTTATAGTAACAATGAAGTTAGACGCGGCGCCCATTCTACTGGAGATTCGGTTCAAATGAGCGTTGTCGGTACTAAGGGAAATGTCCCAGGCCGAAGTTTTGCTTTAGCAAAATAGTAAAAATGCGTGGACTAGGTGTCGTGGAAGGTGTAATAGCAGCGTACCTTCATAGGGTTTTGGCAACCAGATATTTTCGATCATGAAAACTTGGTAGGAATGATAGAAGCCCCCCTGTTTTGCAATTCCACTTAATTTAAGTGACATTTTACTCTAACATTGATTGACTTGTAGTGCTTTGCTACTTTTTGAACCACGGGGGCGCTTCAGTAGCCTTAGGCTGTACCTTAGCCCTGCCGCGTGCCCTCCAAGCTGTTTGTAGCCTCCCACCTATTCCATACGTTTGTAATGTTTTCTTTTTTAACCTTATTCAACTATAACTTCAGGGAAGATTTGGTGCTCTGGAGAGTACACGGTGATTTCGGTTGCCTGGACCATTAACTTAGAAACACGAACCCTCACTGCGGTAGGAGAAAATGTTCCTGCATTAAACGAAGCTCCTGGATGAGCTCGACTAGACCAGGTAGTTATTACAATAGTTTGCGGCTATTAGTTAGTTGACTGATTTTTCTAGTAGAAAAAAAACATGCAAGCCTAGAGAGACTCAAATTCAGGACAAAAACGTTGGAATTGTCCCATACGCCCTCCAAGGGGACCTTATGAATTAGTATTCATTGGTTGAAAAAGAGACGCATGTGTAATACGATAGTGGTTTATTCCTCGGTTCTGGTGAGGCGCCACTTTTGTACTTCGAATTAGCCCCCTTGTACCTCACTGGGTGGGCTGGCCTTTCGGGCCATGCCAATAGCCCAGAC